GAAAGAGGGAAATGGGGTGTGGTCATGCCACAATCGTTTCTCCATTTCTCCATCCTGTCAGGATTTGGGGTATATCCCCTGCATATTTTTCAAGCTGCTGGGGCCAGGACTTGAACCGTTGTGGTCAACCATGTGGGGTCTGACTCCTTTCACCACTAGGCTTCAAGGCAGTCCCTTGAGTTGGCTTCTGTCACCAATACCTGCTCCAAGCTCCTCTCCTAAAGGGTGAACCCACTCCGTTGTTCATAACACTAGAGTTCCCCTCTGGGAATTCACCTGCCCTGTGTCCCATGCCCACAAGGCTTCCTTCTTCCTCGACTGCTGAAGTGCCCACCAGACAATACGAGAAGGGCACAGGTGGCCTCTCTGCCTCCGGGGCCGTGACCACCTGCCCTGCCCCCACTGCTATCATCCCGTGGGAAGTGGGCATGCCTCGTGCCTCCCCGAGCCTAACTCTACCCAGAGAGTGGGCGATCCCCAAGGTCAGGGGGCACCCACCTGTCAATGGGGTGAATGATGACGGGGATGGCCAGCAGCCCAAGTGCGGTGGTAGTCCACTTGCGGACAGCCAGAGGCCAGCGGGTGGCGGTGCCCAGGACATAGAGGGAGGCGGCACACACGCGATTGATAGTGAACCCTGGGATGGCCACGGAGGCCAGAGCCTGCCACACGAATGTGTCCACCACGGCCACCGTCACCCTGGTGCTGCGGCCTGCTTCAGGGCTGGGCGCCTGGTGGGCACAGAGACACTTAATTCAGCTGGGATAGAGGCGGGACGTCTGCGGGTCAGGGGCATGGGGCTGGACCAGAGAGGGCCAAGTGGCTGGTGGGGAGGCGACTGGGACAGAGGGAATGTTCCGTGCTCGGCTCGGGACTGCACCACGTCAGGATAGAAAGTGGTTCTGTTCACATGCGGGACCAGGTACCGAGGGCCACATCCAGGGATAGACGCACACCCTACAAGTCGCGCTGGCAGATGGAGAAGCTGCAGGGGTGGGTGAACCCCCCAGGTATGAGCCACGCAGTCGTGGGCAGGCTGGGGTGCAGGGCAGGCTCACACTCACCTCTCCCGCCTTCTTGCCTTTGTCAATGGCGTCGGCCAACACGTAGGAGCTGGACACGCCGTAGCTCAGCCACACCACAGCCCTGGGGACCAGAGAGCGGAAAGCCTCCCCCACCTCATTGGCGTAGCCTGGAGAGAGGAGCCATTTAATGCCCAGACCCGCGCGTCCCACTAGGGGGCGCTGGAACAGCTGTTTTTAATCACAGCTTGCTCTGCAGTCGCTGGGTGACCTTAAGCCGCTGACTTTACCTCTCTGAACCTCCATTTCCTGGTTGGACACTGGTGCGGACTCTAGGGCCACCGCGGGAGGGCTGACACAGCCCCTCCGTGCCGTAGCCCGTGGGTTGGATCTCCTAGCTGACTCTGGGAATATCTGCACTGGAGGTACCGGCCACCATCTGGATGACCCCGCTGACCCACCACTCGCCAGCTGCAGGCCTTCCCAGAGCCAGTGGGCGGCAGCGCGGGAGAAGGGAGTCCAGACCCCCTGATCCACAGCTAGCGCTCGAGCGTGCCAGAGAGGTCAGCTCGCTCACTCCCCGGAGATTCCACCCTGGGAGGGCTGACCTGCAGAGACCTCAGGGCAGAGCTGGACCCACCAGTGCTGTGTGACCTTAGGCAAGTCCTTAGCCCTCTCTGAGCTCAGTCTCAGACCCTAGCAGAATGAGCAGTAAGGTCCTCCCGCCTGCCTCCTGACCCTGGACCGGTGTCGGCGACCACTGCTTCCCCAGCCCGGGGTCGGTGAGGTCGCCGCGCCGGTCGCCCCGCGCTCACCCAAGTATCGCACCCACGTGTCTCGGTAGAGGTCGCGCTGCGCGCCGGGCGGCTGCGGCTCAGACATGACGCTCCGGCCGCGG